GAGCATCACAATCACTGTTTTTGAAACAATTGTTCCCTTTCCTTCATTTTTGTTTTATTTTTTATGTACCGCCCTCTTCCATTTGGGCGCGCCTGGGCTCAGGACAGTGGCATCTTTGCCAGCAGTTATATACCGTAGTGAAGATGATAGTGAAGACAATACTGATGATGAAGATCAGATGGAATGGTATGATTATGAGATGATGGATAATTAAAATGAATATTTGAACGAACTTGATTTTTCTGAATAACAATCAATTTGAATCTAGTTTCAAAGACAATGATGGATCAGAGTCTAGTTTTGAGGAGCCTGCCATTGAGGGATCAGATCACATTAATCCTTGGCCTATCATCAATTAAACTCACACTTTACCAAGACTGATAAACGGTCAAATCCATCATTGAACAGCATTGCAAATTAAATGAATCAATTGAGAAATCTGCATCATCATATGACCACAACACCAGCTCAGTTCCAACAGCAATGTACCAATTCAATATGTTGGCTGAGATCCGCAAGTTTGATTGTAATTGAAAAACACTCAATCTTGCCAAAACAGGCTATTTCAGCATGCGGTCTTCAATGGAGGTTGCAGCAATCTCTTTGCTCCAAAGGCTAGCACCTCTACCTGGTTCTGAGACCAGAAGAGGACATGCTGCTTGCATACAAAATAAAGCCTGTTATATCATCATCATCATCAGCTGTCTATATTACAGCGGGGCCTTTAAACACCTCACCCTTCAATTTTAGATGACCCAACAGTACTAAATATGGTGAAAGATTGGATAGCAACACAAAAAGTTGGTAAAGTGGGTTTGATATCTTTCTTTTAACCTTCTTGAACCAAACCATGAACAAAATTTGACTTGATTTTACATCTTAGGTTACACCCAGAATACTGGTTAACCACATCAACAACAAAATTATACCAAAGTTTGAAGAGCATCAAGATGTGAGAATATCCAAGAGTACCTGTAGTCATTGGATGCACAGGATGGGTATGCAATATAAGCCTTATTTGAAATGTCTTTTTCATGGTGGTCATGAGCGTGCAGACATTGTAGAACTTATAACCCAACAAGAGTTATACAGAGTGTGAAGGGCATAATCTACCAAATAAAGACTAGTAGAAGATGTCTAAATACTGCCCTCCTAAAACAAGACAATCAGAAAGGGGAACTCTGTTGAATTGAGTACAGATAAGTATCAAAAGAGCCAAGTAACTTGATTTAACTCTCAAGGACTAAAGGCATGATTTTGAGATGAAATAGCACAATTTTAATTAACTCTCAACACTTATAGTGTTATTCCAATCTGATAACTAAGAGAGAATAGTGCAATATCGTTTTGATGTCATTCCCAAAAGAATCTTTAATTCAAAACACTACCACACCAAAGTAATTTTCTCTTTATAGCTATAATAAAGGGTGTATTTAAGTGACCAGGTACTATTAAAACAAGTTTATGATGATAAACAAAATTATAATGTTGTAAATGATAAATAACAGAGGGGAGTAACCCCACCCAGATCCTTCATTGGACAATATATAACACCAATACAATGAGTAACAAGTTCAAAAACCAACAAAACCCCTCAAAAACTGTCAAAAACCAACAAAATCCCTCTGATGGAACCTCATGATGTCATCATTATTAATGTGTGTTGTGATTAAAGCTGTGAAGTTGATCAGTAGATGTTTCAAAATGATGAACATACCTTGTTATGATGAATACAGGGGATTTTTTCCTAGTATTCATGGCTGAAAATCATTTTTAGAATTTCAACCTTTTTTGTAAAGTTGTCTAATTTTAGATTACTATATCTCATTGTATAACTCTCTTGATACTGATCATTTATTTCCCAAATATGAACCACATCTGATGTGTGATGAATACATTATTGAGCTGTAGAGATTGAGAAAATAAGCTTTTTGTCATGTCACTGCCAGCATTAAATAGGTTCCCTGGTCGGAACATGACCTAGGCTGGGAATATCATTGAGAGAAGAATGGAGCATCAAATCATCTCGCACTGCACATCTGAGCCATAAAGCATACACTACATATGTGCAAACATCTGAGTAAATCCTTAGCTATCAGCTACATACAGGTCCGCTCAGTTATCTGCTCATCTAGATAAGGAAATCATGTGTAATACATGCTGTAACTTTGTTCAGATTGAGACACACATTTCAAAATATTGACTACATATATCACAATGGCTACTCAGGCAATATTCATGGAACTGTGTAACAGTAGCAGAATGATGTGTGATGAATACATTATTGAGCTGTAGAGATTGAGAAAATAAGCTTTTTGTCATGTAAATGTTGTTACATGTGTGTATGTAAACGCAAAAGTTGAAACTCATACCGTTTCTTTTGTTTCTTTATACCTTTTTAAGTACACCTCTGTTAATATTGATTAAAAGGTTGTAAATTGGGAAACAGAGCATTCTGTGTCAATTGAACTATTACTCATCCTGATCTGACAAGGTTTGACATATGTAATTAGCTGAAAACCTTCACTTTCACTGGATTTTGACCATTTCCACCTCTCTTCATGTCCAATATTGATTTCTCTTCTATAATAAGATCATCCTGAAATAATGAAATCATAAGAATGACTATAAAATCACTCTGAAAAACTCTTGGCGCCATAAATCCCTCAATGACATCACTACACATGAATTATTCTTGTAGTATCCTTGTTCACCATTTTCAAAATCCCCTCTTTCTTCAATAATGTCACTCCTCCCTTCTCAATTACCATGAGACAAATTGGTGCTGACTAATGTGACCTTCCTCTGTAATAATAAAACCTTCTTGAACCTTTAAATCCCATACTAATAGCCTAAAAACCATTTTCCAACTTTTATACCTATATTGTTGACTTTTTTATGAATTTCTTTTTCTCCCTTCTTTCTGACAATAAGGGTACTCAAATTAAGTATGTATGTGTACATACTTTTTGCTATATACTTTTTTTGGCGGGGAAGACGAGGCCAAAAGTATTTTTTTTTCTTTGTCCCCGCCAAAAAAAGTATGTAGCGCTACATACTTTACTTTGAGTACCCTTAATGATTACATAGTTTTAAATTGAATAACTATCATGTAAATCATTGATTATTACATAAGATTGATTTTTAATCAATGCACAATGAAATAATGAAAATATGCAAAAACACGACTTTGCCCTAAAAACTTCAATTCTTCTGTTAATGATTTTTTTGTATTTTTCTCAATTGACCCTATAAATTGATTACCAAAACAATCTGCTTTATTGAAAAGAATTTGATAAATTATTGAACAATTTGATTCAGCACAAAAACTGTTTTATTGGACAAAGCCTCAACATTCCTGTTTATCCAATGCTTGCAGGCTTGGATCAAGAGGTTGTGAAGGTTTATCATGACAATTGCACACTGCACACTGGTGAAGGGCTAAGGATGGGATGGTTTGCAAACAAATGACACCACACTCAAAATGAAAAGTGAGGGCTGCAAGCTTATTCATCAGTCTGATTCTATTGAGAGGAAGCATGGATGCCTTGTTGTACCTCCAGATACCGTCACCAACATGACCTTCAAGGATGTGGCTGCTTTAATTTACCCTGGGGCTAAAGGTGATGACTGGTGGAGTTGTCATAGATTAATTAATCAAGTTGTAAACCTGCAAAACCAATGTTTGAATTTCTCAACCCAAACTGCCAAGCTCTCTTCATCTTTGACTGCTCCTCTGCTCACAAATCATTTGCAACCAATGCACTTTGAGTTCAATCAATTAACCTTGTCCCTGGTGGAGTCAAGGCCAAAATTTGAGATACTTGGATTCATTTTTACAATCCAAACATCCCTCAGCACCTTCCCAGAATCACTCAAACAATGAACTTGCCAAGTGATCATTTGGAGTCAAAACTTTCTGGTAAACCTAAAGGAATTACACAGGTTCTCAATGAGTGTGGCTTTTGGTGTTATCACAACAAACAACACCAGCTGCAAGGACTTTCAACGATGAATTTGAAATCTGCTGACTGCAAGAAGACTGGTCTTGCTAAAGAGAAAAAGATTCAAGTGGAGCACCTTCTCTGGAATCTTGAAGCAACCAATGCAAATCTCAACACAACTGCAAGTGAAGATTTAGAACAACAAATTGACTGCTGTGCATTAAAAGTCCTTTCAAATCAGTCTGACTTTGCTGATTAAAAGCCAAATCTTCAGATGGTCATTGAGAAAGCGGGTTGCTTATGTATGTTTTTACCATCCACTGCAAATGGAACCCAATTGAGCTTCTTTGGTGCTACTCAAAGAGTGTTGAGTTTTTTTCCTTGTCCATATCTCTCAAAGCCTTGTCACTGATGAAAATTTGTCTCATCCTAATCTAGCATATTGGTCATCAAGTGCCACCACTGTTACTCTGCAACAATCAAAAGATCTATGGGAAAAGGCAAGAACCAGATGTCCTCTTATCACCATACCAAGGTTTTTCAAAAAGGTCAACCAAATAAGAAACCAATTTATGTAAGTACTGATAAAACATCAATTTTATCAGCCAGTATTGCTGATTGGGGTCCTTGTTCTTTCTCTTTCTAGGCAAAGCACCACCAACATATTTACCTTGGTTGTTCAGTCTGAGGTATCCTTAGATGCCACACCTTGGACAGCAGCTTCCCAAGGTTTTGATCCACGGTAATCATGAGCGCAAAAGAAGACCTTGGACAGAAACCTTGGAGAAGGTCTGTCCAAGAATTTGCCTCCAATGATGCCTTGGATTTCTCAACCCAAGATGTTAGCAGTGAAGGGTTGTATACCGTGAGCAATCTCTATCGAGGGAGAAATCGTGAGATCTAGATTCTCACGAATCAAAAATTCTCCCCATCCAATATCACCACTACCCAGATCCAAAATCATCAAACAAAAAGGAAATTCACTTTTCGCTTTCTCATCAAAAGTTTTTCTTTTTCGAAATTCATATACAATAAATTGGCCAAATACACTACAATATGTCAGCTCAAAACTATGCAAACGTGTTAGAAGGAATTGAAATCAATAACTCAGATCAAGGAGAGACCAATGCGACTCAAAATACAAACATGATTCAAGACGAACAAGTAGTGAGAAAAACTCGGTCAGGCGCAATTCATAAGAAGCAACAAGAAGAAAAAGAAACACCGGAGACATTGAAAAAGAAAGCTGGGAAGAAGAAAAAGGAGAAAGTGGTAGTAGGAAATGAGACTATAAACGAAGTGCAAGATCAAGACATTACCCAAGTTAACGATGAAGATATAGACAAATTAGAATATGTGGATCAAACAGATACGCAAGAGGAAGAACAGATTAGAGATAGTAATGATGTAATAGGAGTTGTGACTGGCTTAGGTAAGTAATACTCACGTGAAGAGTATAATTATTTATTTCTTCTCTCTATTTCTTTATCTATTTCTTCTTGATTATACCCCATAACCCCCTATTTCCGATTTCTCTCTATTTTCAACACCCCTTATTTAATCCAACTCACTATCTATCGGTATAACCTGACTAAAGGTCAATAAGAAGCAAACGGGAAATCAACAATCTGATTGACCCTGTGTTAAAACAACACGAGACTTCGTTAGAAAGAGTTAACCTCAAAAACAAATTAAAGGAAACTTGATTAAAGATAGTTAACCTGGAAATAAGATGAAAATCAATTAACCCGAGAAAAGGGAAATTGCAAAACGTACGGGAAATCTACAAGATTGACCCAGAAAACAAGGGAAATCCACAGGATTAACCCAGAGAACAAGGGAAACTATAGAGTTGACCCAAAATAAATAACGTTAAGACAATATATAAAAGAATAAAGAATAAAAAGATCAAAAAGACTTACCAATTCTCTTAAATACCTTTCCATCAACCTTCAGGTCGATCAGTAGAAAATTCAAACACCCCCACTATGATCGAACTAGCCCACAAAAAGTGGATTAACAACATCCAGACCGCCTTCTTGAAAGGGAAAACAGCCCAATTCAACATGTTACAATCCTCATACAAAAGCTGGTGTAAGAAAGAGAAAACCGAAATGCAAGATTGCGAATTTCATGAACTTGATTTAGACGATCTAGATATGGATACCACACCTAAGACCTCCGAATCTAACAAGGATAAATCAAAAGACTCGTCTAAAAATAAGAAAGAAGCTAATACCAAGATGAGTATCGGAGTGCACCTAGTAGGATAAATGCACTACTTCAAGCCCCTAGTATAAAATACTTTAGTGATGCCTGTACAGACCTTAGTGAGTCTCTCGATAGCGCTGCTATGATATACAGCGCAAACGATTGCAGCTCTGTCGCTAGATAAATCGAAATTAGGTTGACTAGTCTTTCACCTTACTGGAATGACATAATGATAAACAAGAACTTACACGTACCGGTATCAATCTTTTGCCCCAAATGGCTCCTACAAGACTTAACGTACATAAGAAGGAAAGCAAAAACGTCATCTTGTCACATAGAAACTTCAGCCTATACCGGTTCACCAGTATTAAATGAGTACAGATTGACATTTGCAGAATGGTTAGTTAGATTCAACTTAATGATAAAATATCAACAATTGAAGTATGACATATTAGATGAACAAAAAGACTCACCGATAGCACCAAGATTGATAGCCCATAGAGATAACTGCTTACAGATTCAAATAGACTGTTATGGAAAATGGCCAACTGCGATGAGATATGATATCGCACATTGACGGAACGTATGGGAGAACCGTTTGGTAGATGGAAGCATGGCGGATGTCGGTACCCTAGATAAAAGATTACTCGAACAAGCTGAAAAAGATGCCAAAGATTTTAACGATTATAACTATGCTGATAACCCGTATGCATTCGGAGCCCCAATGCAAAACATTAGCCCTATGGATGGGAAAACTTACCCCGCAAACAACTCTTGGGACATGACAGGAGCTTTAGTAGATTCACACGTTGATATGATAACAGAGAGGAACTTACCAATTTGGAACACTTCCCAAGGCAACACAAACTCTTCTTTCCATAACTCACATCATCAAACTATTGATCGTACACCGATGAGTGGACCAATACGGAAACCTAAAGGTTACCAAGGGCAGAACTTCGACCCAAATTACCATAAGAAACAGTTCTATCACCCTAAACAACAGAATTTCCCGATCCAACCAAATTATAACTATAGGACCGGAAATCATCCCTACCAACACCCGATGCAATATCCTAATGTTAACTACAATACCAACATGAATCAAAACACGAACAGAGGGAGCATAGGAACGTACCAAAATACCCAAAATCTCAGAGGGAGTTTTAATGGCAACCCTCAACAAGGATACGGGGGTAGACAATTGTACACAAACCAGACCACAGATAGACCAGCAATCGGACAAGGGAGCTTCACTCGATTATTACTTGAAGGTAACGGAGGGAAAAGAGGAGAACCTAACGTACCAGCCCAATCTGGATCAAAGTAAGTATTTAATAAATCAAAAAAAAAAAAAACTCTTCCCTAGTATACGTATTTTGAATACTTTCAATCAATGACCTCCTTGTTATTAGTCTTCTGCTGTTCTGCTTTGTTATTCTCTGTTTTGTTATTCTGTTTCACAACCAAAACGTAGTTAGCCTGCATGTTATGTCGAACCCCATTTTCTACTTTATTTTGGGAATAGTTGTTGTCAAACGAATTTGAAATAAGATGTTGAAGGTCGCGTACTGATTGATTTGTATTGTTTTGGTCGCGATTTGTTTGTGATGCAATCTTACTCCATGTTTGATAGTCTTGAACTTGGCAATACAAGGCCTTTTAGGTCTGAAACCGACCACGATGCAGAAAAGAGAGTCAGAGATAATGCAACAAGTGAGAATAGAAACGAAAGTAACGCTTACATTATAGATGACCCGTCGGCAATTTGGCCGCACCAGAATAGGTGCGAAATGAATCTGGAAGCCTGGAAGACAATGTTAGACAAATGCAATCTCACGGAGAAATGGAAAAAGGTGTGGATTGGCATTACGAAAGGATTTGACCAAGGAATCCCTCAGCACTCGTTAGGAGACCTACGCTGGTTTACACCCGATAATCACAAATCAGCACTCCTTGTCCAAGAAAAGATAATGAGAAATTTATACAAAGAACGAAGATTAGGGAGAATATTCGGACCTTACTCACATGAGACTGTATATAAACATTGGGGATTCTTTAGATCCAACCCAATGGGAAGCGTTACAAATAACGACGGATCCCTGCGCATGATAAATGACTTATCATATCCAAAATCAAACATGAAGAAGTCAGCCAAGATTCAAGAAGAAGATGATACAGAGAGTGACGAAGATGGCGGTAACGGAAGCGAGATGGAAAATGGAGGGAGGAAGAAGAAATACTCCGACGGGTCAGACAAGTTAATTAAGAACCTACATTATGAGATAGAAAATAAATCAGTACCCTCAGTGAACTACTTTGTAGACAAAGACGATTTTACGACCACGTGGGATGACTTTAATGATGTTGCAGACTACTTCAAAAAGAACCTAGGAATAAAAATATGGTTAGCTATAGTAGACTGGGAAAAAGCTTATAGGCAGGGACTTACACTTGAATCTCAGTGGAGGTATTTAACAATAAAAGATTTCAGAGGAAATATTTGGATAGACACAAGAATACCTTTTGGAGGAGTTGCAGGCTGTGGGACATTCAGATGGATGGCGGATGCGTGGAAGGAGATAATCCTTGAGAAACTTAAAGTTGAACGAATTTTTCGTTGGGTAGATGACAATATGTTTGTTAAATTAGAAGGTAGCAAATTAAGCATGGAGACAGTGATTGAAATCACAAGAGAACTAGGAGTACAATCTAACGAGGAAAAATTTCAAGATTGGGGAATGGAGCAGAAGTATCTCGGATTTATTTGGAATGGTCATGAAAAATCAGTACGACTCCCTAAAGAGAAAATCATAGAAAGATTAGACAAAATTAAGGACTTACTTAAACCCACAAAGAAATGATCAAAGAAGGAGATTGAACAATTGGTAGGACAACTAAGCCACATGACTTATATATTACCATCGATGAGATGTTATATGTGGAACTTATACAAATTTGATAAATCCTGGTTCAACCACCAAGCTTTACGAGAACTACCAATAGGGGCGAGAGACGAGTTGTTAGAATGGGAAGTTAAGTTGACAAATTTTGATAGGATGGTTTTTAAGGAAGATCTACCGGAGGAGGAAATCCAGTGGGTTGGTGATGCTAGAACGGGATTCGGACTCGGTATACTGATAGGTACTAGATGGGCCCGATTTAGACTGCGTGAGAGTTGGAAATCTGTCGGACTGTCACAGACCGGGAAAAGGCGTGACATAGCCTGGCTAGAGACACTTGCAGTTCGGTTAGGTCTCCTAATGATTGAAAAGCTCTTAGACACAAATAATCGCCGATTCGTCGTCTATACCGACAATACAACAACAGAAGCAACAGTACGAAACAAAAAGTCAAGAAACAATCTCGTGAACGAAGAGTGGAAATACATCCAAAGAGAACTTACAAGACTAAAGTGCGAAATCGTAGCAAAACGAGTGTCGACCGGGGAAAATAAGGCGGATAGTATATCAAGAGGAATACGAACCGAAGACGAGAGAAGTCAGGAAGTGGCAATTCAAGTACCAGACGATTTGAAACAGATCCTACAGAGGGATTAGGTAGAAGGATGAATGAGGCAAAGATTAAACACTTCTTATGTGATGAAAGAGGGTCAGTTCGAAGTTAATAGAGTCGAGTAACAAGTAAGAAACTGCATGAATATTGAAACTGACCAATTTCCCCTCTTCATTACCTGTCCTGTCTTGACCAATTTCTCCTCCTACTCACCTATCCGACCTTACTAAAACCCATTTTTCAATTTCCCCACTAAAATATCTTATAACCTTGATAGGTCATATGATTGGAAGAATCGTACAAGTTAAGAGCAAACCCAGTTCGCCCTAAACTCCCCAAATTTTGGTCAAAACCTTACCGTTACCTCCCTCAGCAGCAACACTTATGCTTACCCCTCACTTCACATTGCCCCATACCTCATTTTTCCCACTCTTTACTTCTCGACCCCTAACCATCATCTCAGCTCATCAATACAACAACTCATTTTTATTCACGCTCATCACACGCAATGATGAGTTTATTATCTAACCACCCCCAGCTTCAAAGCCAAACCACTGGAACTTATTCACCCGCTCACCACGCGAACACCCGATCACTTCTTTATCTAATGTCACCTGTGTCCGAGGTGCCACATTCACCACAGCGAAACTCTCCCCTCACCCGAAATAACATCCATTCTATTTTCTTACCTCCAAAGCACGCAGATACCACTTGAAACATAGTTTTCACACACCTCAATCTGACTCCAACTCTCCCGCTAGGTGACTTCTTACCATTCAACGTTCAGCACCAGTGTCAACATGGTACGTTGGCACCGTGAAAACCACCCAAAACGTCACATCGATTTGACATTTGTTTCAGCGCAGGCAGATCTCACACGAAGCTCCCTCGCTTTCAGATAAACCCATCCGGCTCTAGCCTCCCGGCGCCTTCTCCTCAAGAAACTTCGGAGGATTACTTTCATCCCTGTATTTGCCGCTTTCACTTCAATTGTCCGCGACAAAAGTTTCCACCTTTTTATAATTCATGCCTAGGCTCATCCAAATTTCAGTATGCGCCGCCGTCTTCGCGTCATTTGAATTTAAATGTAGCCTATGCACCACACCACACATACGCGAAGTTTATACCCTCGTCATTCGGCTCCTCGACTCTTCAAAACCTTTCGACACCATGTGGATCAATGTCATCGATTATCCAGGTTGTCTCATCCAGTCCACTACAATGTACCCAAATATCTACGCTTTTTCTCCCAACCTGTCTTTCAATTTTGCCAGGTCTAATGTCACTCCGCGTCATTCCCCTTTAAAACTAACTCAAAGATCGTTTGTCAGGTTTCCCCCTCAGCCTCGTCAAATTATTTATTCGATTGACCCATCTCGATTTCAGTACCCTACTGTTACGCCCACTCCAAGACACTTTCCCTGATGCAGCGCAACACCCGTCTCCCAGTTGAAGTTACTGAGATCATTCTCCTATACGTCTACGAAGACTTGGGCAAAACTCCCCCTCACCTCGTTAACACAGCCGATCGTAGTCATACTAACTATGCCTCACTTACTTGGCTCTTGGGCCTCCGATTACTGGGCCGAGACTGGGCTGATCTGATCATGACCTACATTTTTCGCGAGCTTGACCTACGATGGTCCTTCTTGGCTTCGAATTTGCTAAAGCGGCAAAACCAATCTTTCGTCTTTCGCGGCATGCAACATTTACGCCGATTGAGCATCGGTCACGTTTTCTATTCAAATCCAAACCTTGTGTATTCTAACTATCTTGGTGTCGAACTCGAGTTGCAACCGTACCATTACCCATCGTCTGTCATTTATATGCACGACATCGAACGAATTCTCGAGCTTTGTATACACAATTTAACCGAGTTAAAGCTTGGATTCGTTGGTTCCGTTGGCTTTTCTGAAGCGGTAGTGGAAACCGCGAAACGCGCCTCAAATCTCAAAGTCCTTATCCTTGGTTCGACACTAGCTCGGCGCCACGATAACGGCTCTGAATCTATCCATGCCCGTCGCATTAAGCACGATTACGACTCTTTGATTGCCCTGCTCAATGAGGTCCCCTCATTAGAGTCGCTGTCACTCAACTTTCTTTCACTATTCAGCTTACATGTCACTCCCGGTTCGCTCCCCAATCTACAACACTTATTTTTTCTTAGTGACGAATCAAATACCCACGCTGTGGTTAACTTTTGCCGACTCTATGCCCAAAAACTCAAATATTTAGAATTTTCTTCATCAAATGATAGAGAAGCAGCGGGTTTGGTAGTATTCTCCATTTGGAATTCGATTGAAGTACTCTCGGTAGATGCATTCCCCTGCCGTACCCCGGAAACACTATTTGCGTACAAGTTCTGCCGACTTCGCGTTTTACGATGTACTTCTTCCCACATTCCCACTACTAAACTTGAATGGTTGCAATGCCCTTTTTTCAGCACTATTGAGATTTTTATCACGAACTATGCGTCATCCAAGAAGAACTGGGAAGACATCTTGGCCGGCATACAACAAAATCCCACCATTCGCCCCGCCAGCCTCAAGCACATCATCTTCATAACAAGCAGCAAGTCAGCGCTTCAAGACCGTGACTTAGTTCAGGCATTTCAAGCGCAAAACTTAACTTGCCACTTCAGAGGCGGGATGACATACGCTGACGTATTAGTCAGTGTTTATTCCTTCTATCTTCACTATTTAATGATCTTGGAATTTAATATTGATGCATAAAATTTTATAGGAAGCAAACGTTTGGGTCAAAAATCAAATAGCCCGATTGACATACTGATGCGACCAAAGAAGACACAACATACACTGAGGTTTTGGTAAGCAAATCTCTTACCTCCTTTCAAACACGTAGCCATGATTTTATACTAATACATTGCCCAACGTTGACAGGATACAATGGAATCACGCAGCTTCATAATGCTGCATTCAACGGACATAATTCCTTCTTTCTGTTTGGCAAACCAATAAGCCTTCCCGTTGGGGGCTCGCTTGAACAGGATATGATTTTTCACATGTCCACAGGACTTAGTATCATATTATTCTCATAGGGCCTTTGTTTTCACTCGAGTGGTACTGCTTCCAACAATAACCATCCGATTCTTTCTTGCTAGACTCTTTATCCTATTCTTTCACCACTCTAGACGTCCAATAACAATAGAATTCGTGACCCGACCCATGCCAGACAAAATACCTGCGACACACAAAATTCTGTCACCTGTAGAATCCTTAGAGCTTGTTAATCATCTTGCACTTAACTTTTATTTCATTGCCACGTTTCATTCTCTCAATCTCTGTCACAACGTGGTTCAATTCACCACCGCATCCCTCTTTATAGCTGAGTCTGAGTTAACCAAGTAACCTCGCAACCCACAAGCTGTTCATGCTTAATTTCAATTGAGGAAATGCCGCATTTACGCGCAAAATATCACTACTACTTAAGGTCGTTTTTATTACCCAGTACTCAGTTGGCAGATGCAGCACGGAGAGGTTTCTCTCTGGCAGCAATTGAACCAGGTGTCCCAGTAACGGTAGATCATCTCATGTACACTTCTCTCTTGGAAGTCAGCGACCCTACTTGATGTCATTCACGTCCGGCAAACAATCTTGGCTGTCGGCTTATTTCAACCCTGCTACATTCCTTCGACGTCGTGGGAAAGTATCTAAGCCTGGATAAGCCCCATTAGTCAATCCAAGCCCCAACCAAATTTTGGATACAATCCGCCTGTTATTTTTAAGGTCTTCTCTAAAATGACGCATAGTCAATTCATTTTTGATCTTATTCTCGTTACCCATCAAAATGATGTTTGCACTCATTCTAGCTAACCATTTTCCACTTCGTGTCGAGATCACAAATCTAATGATATCTTACTACATTGATCTGTTTGCGAAATCACCTACCAATCTAATCAAGAGTGCTGTTTCAACTACAATAAGGCGCCCTCTTTTGATTGTGCTTCTGAACCTAAGATTCGATGCTAAGACTTGGGTAATTACGGTATTTTCCTACGCCTATGATAAACTTCTTTTTGGCTCGGGTTCCGTGTTGAACTGCATTATGACGAATTGGGAAATTTCTCCGACCGTTTCAATTGCATCCCGCTTACGCCATATTAGGCTTGACCGGATCATGGCTCCTGCTTTCGATTCCCTACTCGCTTTGGAATCGCCCGGTTTCACTTCGAAACCACTGCATCAAGCAGATTGGTACCAATATAAATCTAATTCTTTCGTAACCAAGATGGGAGATATAGAGCCCCTTCCTCATTTATGTCAAGATACTCTTACGGACTTGAAACTTAGATTTGAAGCAGGCATCACATTTACGCCCGCAATCATCCACATCCTGGAACGAGCTGCTAATCTGGAAGTGTTAATACTTGTTGGCAACCGCCATGGAATCCGCATCAACCACTCGGAGTGCGTACAGAATTTACTCAAGGCCACCAACCATGTCGAGTCATTATCGCTTGATCTTGGCTACTTAAGAGCCATTGATCCGTTCTGGGAAAACCCTCCCTGTCCTTATATAAATCCCTATGTACGCTGTCCAATCGCTCATTTTAACAACAATGGGCAAAGGCTCATATCCAAACTCACGAACGTACAGAACGCTCAAAGGTCAATCACCAAAAGGGACGCGACCAACTCCAATTGCCTTACATTTGGAGGTTTCGCAATCAAGAATGCTTTCGGTGAGATTCATTGTCAGCACCTGCTTCTCTAGAATCATATGGATCTATCAGCTCACAATCCATTCTTCCCCCGCGAATCCACATGCAAATTCATCAAATCCACCCACTTACTAAAATATGCTGTGCTTTTTCCTTATCTCCAAAGGACTTACGCTCCAAATGGAGACTTACCCAAAATCATTTACCCGGCTCGATCCTCGCCTTCACCTTTCAAAATGGAGCATTTAGCGACTTCGCTGTCCAATGACAGTGATTTTCTTCTGAAACTATGTACAACATGTAAATTCGGTCACAATCACACTATGATCCGCCAGTCATTTTTGTATTTTGCGAGGGAATACTTTCGAAGTCAAGCTTTTACACATCCCATTCAGGCGAGAAACTTTCTGGGGACGCCCCTCGAACTTTGGCCAACTATTTAACCTTTGGTACTTTGGATGTCACATACCATCATCATTTCGTCTCATTTCGACAACGTGGTCAGAGATGCACCGCCCTGCTCGACTCCCGGTCAAAGTCATTAATATCATTTTGTTCCACTTCTATGAAGACGGCACCAAAACACCGTCTCACTTGGTTAATACTGCCGACCGCGGTTACCTTGGCCCACGATTTCTCAAATCACTTCTAAAGTTGCGCTTCTTTGGCAGAGAATGGAACATAGCAATAATGAGTTTTATTTTCCGCGAACTAGACTTACGATGGTCATTCCTGGCTCTAAACCTTCTGAAGAAACAAAATCAATCTTTTGTGATTCCTGGCATGCACTCTTTGCGTAGGTTGAGCATTGGCAACGTACATTACCTGGATCCGAATCAGAATTCGACAGGCCGCCGTAATGCCCAACCGGGTCTACATCGTTTTCGTTCCCCCGTTCTTTATACACCCGCGGTCGAAGAAATTCTTGAACTTTGTATAGCCAATTTGTCCGAATTGAAGCTCAGTTTCGTCGGTCCAGTTGTCTTTTCTGAAGAGATGGTGTACATCGCAACAAAAGCCCTAAACCTTAAGGTACTGATTCTCGCCTCCAGCTTGGGTCGCCAGAACCAGAACGGGTCTGGCTCTACTGTTGCGCGTCGCGAGCAACACGACTGTGAATCTCTGATCGCTCTCCTCACTGAAGTACCCTCCTTAGAGTCACTTTCAATTAATTTTGATTTCCTGAACAGTCTTAATGTCAATCAGGACTTGTTGCCCAATTTGCAACACCTATTCTTCGCCGATGATGAATCAAACACCGCTGCCATTGTCAAATTCTGCCATTCGAAGCCAAAAAACCTTAAGTTCTTAGAATACTCTTCTTCTGACGACACGAATGAAGCTGCATCTGCGATCTTCGCTCTCTCGGATTCAATTGAAGCTCTGTCAATAGATGCATTCCCCTGTCGGATCCAAAAATTGATTGCTCTTCACACATTTCCGCGACTTCGTATCCTGCGATGTTCCCACTCCCACATCGCTTATAGAAACCTTGAATGGTTGCAATGTCCCTTTTTCCAAAGTATTGAAATATTCATTACTGACTATGTCAAATCAAAAAAGAACTGGCAGCAGATCTTGGTTGGAATCAATCACAACCCCGCTATGCAACCCACCAGCCTCAAGCACATCATTTTTACCTCGGCCACACCGTCTTCCACCGACAAAACTGATTTAGTTGAAGCATTCCAGGCGCAAAAGATAACTTGCCACTTCAGGGGCGAGATGACCTACAATGATGTATTGGTGAGCGCATCTTTGTCCCCTTTGACGATTTAGTCATTGTCTAACATTTTTATATCACGTTTTAAAGCAATCCAGTACTTGGGTCCAGTGTCAAAATCGTCAAACGTCAACCATCAAAGCAATATAAGAAGAGACCATTTGATCTTGGTAAGCAATATATTTTGCTACTTCAACAATTATTGTTTGTCTAATATGCATGTATTGCGTCGTCAATGAATCAAATTTTTGTTTCCAGGATGAGAACATTTCATTATGAGCACCGATGCAATGTAGTCAAAGGCAGTCTGCCAATAAACTGTATTTTTCTAAATGTGGACTTCGCATTGCCTTTAGTACTGAACACTGAAGACTCCATGTGTGATATCATTTAAAAACCGGGAGATTTCCCGGCTTATTTACAATTTGTTACATGATTTATTACATGATGCGCCTCGCACAAATTGTTTTTGCCTTCAGTCATATTTTTCCATCAACTACAAAAAAACATTTTTATTTTCACTTCAATTTGTATGCCTTATTGACAAATATAAAACATTAACATTTAATAACCCGTGTTTCACACTTTCATGAAAGGTTGCTTACAATCTCTTCCAAATAAAGATGGGGTCCCATCCACATTGGTCCCTGAAAAATTTACTGATGCAGCCTTTGAATCTTATATCATCCAAATTTTTGGCAACAGTTCGCCCCATTGCAAGTCCAACACAAAATTTTGATTTCTCCGCGGAGCCGACTAATGTCTGTTCATGGAAATAAAAGATATTTCCTCATTGACTCAGCCTCACCACATGAATTTATTTTTGGTCTGGTCCAACTGATGGCCTTGATTCATCCTTTCACTTCAGCAATGAATTCCCCAACCAGCAGACACTACAAGAAAGATAACATTTTCTGGGCAGAAAATTAAATTATTGATACACAAAAATATTGAGAGGCCAGGAGGAGAGCAAAAAATGAATAAAAATATGCATCTTGTTCCCTGCGTTGAGAACTTCACTCTGCATATTTTTCCGTATTTTTACAGTCCATATTGATAAGTGTACTAACAATAAACCTTCACAATCATCCAATTACAACCTGTAACAAGCACTGAAATTTGGCTCATTAGTGTTTAGAGAAACTTTTGATTTCTGAAAATACTCATAACTTTTTCAATTCCAGTCCAAAACGCTCAATTTTGGGTGCATTGGTAAGCTGGAATTGTCCTCCAAATAGTTCATAATAGGACCACACAGCATGCTGGTCTGCTAAAAAAGATATCATCTTTTTTATACATTTGTACATACAGATCCATAGAATGATTGTCATACTAGCTACATAGTTTTTGATCTTATGGAAGTTCGAGAGGAAGAGTTCAGCTTTCTAATGTACTTAAAATCGAGTGTTTTGAGGCAGATTTGACAAAGTTATAGGTGTTTTCAGAAATCAAAAGTTTCTCTAAACACTAACGAGCCAAATTTCAGTGCTTGTTACAGGTTGTAATTGGATGATTATGAAGGTTTATTGTTAGTACACTTATCAATACGGACTGTAAAAATATGGAAAAATATGGAGAGTGAAGCTCTCACCGCCGGGAACAAGATGCATATTTTTATTTATTTTTTGCCCTTCTCCTGGCCTCTCAATATTTTTGTGTATCAATAATTTAATTTTCTGCCCAGAAAATATTATCTTTCGTGTAGTGAGATGATGCCACTCCACATTCAGTTCAAATCCAACCTATCGTCAATTTACTCGAAAGTTGCAACTCGCGCCCAGGCACTTCGGTACTTTGGCGACAAGATTTAGTTTGCAATATGTGCATTCTGTTTAACTTCAACGCATCACCGAATCACTCCAAACACAGTTTAGTTTGTACTGATACTCCTAATTTGTCTACGTTCTAAATTCATTTGCAAGGGAGAACCGATCAATTTGCGAACTGCTTTATTGGACAGCGAGAGTCAAACTCTCCCTCCTGCGCATCTCTACGTCAATAGTAATTCTCATGGTCCATCGCTTACTGGGTAACTGGGACATAAACTTTGAGAACACTCCGCAATTTCCTTCGTCACGTTCACATCGATTTTTCTGATGATTAAATGTATGATGGTCAGATGATTTCTCCTTGCTGGTACTCGTTCCGAACAGTGTCGCAAGATTAACTAACTACATGTTTAATAACAGTTTGATTCTAATTGAACTCGAGTAATTGGCTTGGATTCCAATCATCGAATCGATTGATACGATGCACGGTGGGACACATGCATATTACAATTCTCGAATCAGTTGTTGATTGGTTATCCATTCAAATGAAAGTACACGCTGTGCGATTAGGATTTTATTAGCGGCATCTTATCTCAAGGGTGAAGCTTCGAAGTAAAGGGGATTGCTGATCGATACGAATCACTGTCATCATGTAGTTATTTTGTGTATATATGGAGATCGGAATCCGCCTTTATCGATTCGCCTGATCATGGATCTTCAACGCATGTCTGCTCTCATTGTTAAAGCACTCACTGCCTCTCAGTTCATTCATTGTCACTAGGGCCTATACCATATATAAACAGGTAGAGTCACACTGGTTACGCTTTTTATTCATCCCACATTTGTTTGTCCGACGTTGAACCAAACCTTAGCTCAATTGACTAAACGAATCGGTCATTTTTTCTTCTCACCATGTCAGATGAAGATAGCGTCACCGGTCATGGAATTTACCTTTCCAGCAATTTTGAGATAGAAGAGAAGGTAATGCTAATAAACTCGTGTCATTACCGGTTCCAACTGACAAGTTTTGCTCATCTATAGATCACACCAGAGCAACCCCAACGCGAGACTCAATATCGAACTTACGTTTTATCCATACCCTGTAGCGGAGCCGATCGTGATAGATGTTTTACTTATGAAATTCGTGCTACTGGCTTTAGCGGAAAAAATCTCAAGCTTATCCCGAAAAACATTTATCATTTGCGTGGAGCTTTCTTTCCGCGTAACTTATTGGATACGAGCGGTGATCAATTATTCTTTGAAGCGTCTGATCGTGGAGTTATTACCAACGGCAAAAGTTTTCCCTACAGCCTGATTGATAATGTTGGTATCACTGGATTGGGACGCATTTCAAAGATCACCACGACTGTTGAAACTTCCATCCAACACATGATACCGAAGAACCCCAACAAAGACAAAGTGACCACCATTGTCACAGTTGAACATTCAGACTATCATCCTGAAGTAAGTAAATCTTAGCTACTTCTATTTAATTAACAGTAATCACATTTTGGTTCTTTTCTTAGTCCAAATCGGCCAAGGTCAGCAAGGTAGAATACCGGATTTGACCTTTCCCTCATCTAGCCGGTAGCTATAAGGTAGTAAAAGAGGGTCGTGAATGTCTTTTCCACGGATACATTAAGGACCTCAACGAAATAACAAACTGCTACGTAGTCATTGTAAGTCGCTATTTAATTACATTGCTTTTCAATCAATTGACCAATATGAACTACAGGTAAGCAGAGTATCACCTACTTCTGGACATGTCGAGCCGTCGGAAATGACTACTGAACCTGGCATCAAAGCACGCCCTGCCGATACCAAAGGCAATCAAAACCCTAACAAACCGGTTAAGTAAGTAACAGCTCATTGTGTTCCTGATGGAGGTTGTTGACCGCCATCGTCACTCCAGATTCAACCCCCGATCGGTAACTTCACCATTCAAGTCACCTTTGATTACGTCTGATTCAAAATCAAGTATTCCATTTGGTCCCTCTGATTTCGCCGAGACTTCATTCTCATCTGCATCGAGCCGATCTCAGACTTCTTCATCCAAAGATAAAGTTCAGGATGAAGATATTGAGGAAGAATACTCAGTCCCAGCAAAGAAAACCAAAACTAGAGCTCCACCAAAACCGACTGGCGCTCCTGCCAGTCAACCGGCCAAACGACCTCGCGCTCCCCGGGCTCGCAGAGGTGCTGGACCAGAAAAAGTGCTCGACATAGCATTGGATGATTAATTGATCATCAATTCAATAGTCCGATTACTATTAACTCTATTGTTTTGATCTAAAAGCTGTCGCCCTTTGGCACTTGACTTCAGAACTATTTGTACCAATTTGGTCTGGTGGCATTCTTTCCTCGCATCTCTCTTCTTACAGGAAACAATTTTTAACTTCTTCATTTCCTTTTTCCAATATTCATTCAAAAAACGCGAAAAAATATCTCTTAAACCAATTTTCCAAACCAAATAAGTTTAAAATTATTCATGTGGAAGATATTTGTTCGTTCAAGACATTGATCAAATACACTTTGCCTCTGCCAAATGAAAAGGCTTTACATATAGATTGCGTTTCTTTTGTATCTGATTTGAATGCTTCAGACTCAACTAACATTATTCATTCTCAAAGCCACTCTTTCCTGGGGCTAACGATTAATCTGTTTTTTATAGTTAAGAAAATGTGCTCGTGCCGCATTCTGCTTATTTTCTCATTCTCCTTCAAAACAATAAAAAGATTCAATTTTCAAAATTGTTCCATTTTAGCCTTTCAGCTATCTCACTCCAATTTTTAGACCTGTTTTGTAACAAAGCCTTTAAGCCTTGCAGAGCTATCGTAATAACTTAAAGGTTTTTGTTAAGACCGGCCCTCTCGCATGCCCAAACGTTCAATCCCTATCATCGATTCATTCCCTGTAGGTCATCGTGCCACGTGGAACATTTAATAACTGCCTGTACTCAGAATGTACTGAAACAATCGCATTGGATTTAGTTTAATTTTTTGTTTACAATTACCGTGATGAGCACAATTGATCATGATCATAAACCGTTCAGGGACTTAGCCTTTTGGGTTGCGATTTGGCCTGTGTGAGGTTCTATTCTGGCACAGAATGAATGGCGATTAAATTTTATATGCCTTGGCCATGGAGGTCGAACTGATCCCACGAGTGATTCAACCATGTTAATCACAAGTTAAATCGTCTATATCGATCCCTGGTTATTTCAGATCGGGACAAGATTTGCATAGTGCGGGTTGCACGAGGACATCAACAATCAGACTGATTTCGAAACTTCTTTCAATCATCTGCATGGATCTCTTTAACTCGGACTATTCCTCAACATCCTTCAATGCCCAAAAATTTATATTTGGACGGAATTTGTATTCTTGACGCTTCATCGGCCAATCAAACTTAAGTTGTACTAATAACAATTAACACCTGGTACCAATGCGACACAAAATGAACTTTAAATTCGGCTCCAACCTTTCACTTTCACGATTTAAAATTGAAATCACGTTTCAAAAACAACCATGATTTTAACCATGTACGTTCAAGACTTTGTCACTGCGTCGTCTGCTTCGTAACTCTCCGGCTTCAATGTCTGATATTGGCCCAATATTTATCAGCCTCATATTTTCCGTCGGGAACATTCAAATCCGGTTCAAATTTAACACCACGTCAAGTTAATGTATCTATATTTTCATTAACACTCAAATCCCAAATTGACATGCGCTGTGTGTCCCCAACTGCCATTGACAAGTCATCCTGGAGCACATTCGACGCAGACTTTAACCCCAATGACGGAGATATCACATGATATTGCACTGTTATACGTTTTCACAGTCCACGATCACGAGGAGTGAACGTTTGTGTCGCGATCTAATAAGGCCTACATAAAAGGATAACGCTCAACATGTCTTAACATTGATTCCAATTTTCCTCAAACAAAATTGTTTAGTCATGTCATCCAGTACGAGCCTTCCCATCGAAGTGATTCAGATGGTTCTTTCATTTCTGTATGGAGCTCTCGAAACAAGAGACACATATTGCATCAACAGCGCCGACTTCAATTACATCAAACACGCTTCTTTAAATTACCTTCTGGGATTAAGATATATCAGTAAAGCTTGGAATCTTGCAGTCATCCCCTACGTGTTTCGCCACCTTGACTTACGACTAGCGTTTATGGCCCACAATTTGATCAGGCAAAAAAACACCAGATTTATCAGCACGGGCATGTTTCAATTGCGTCGACTGAATATTGCGAAAATATTTTACCCAAACATGAAGAAACGGTTCGTTAGTGGTTTGTGTCAACAAATTACCGACACAGCTCCCAAATGCCCAGAGTCAGCGGTCCAAATGTCCGAAGTTAATCAAATTATAAAATTATGTAGCCACCATTTAACCAATCTTAAACTACAATTCATTGAAGGGGTAGGGTTTACTCCGACTATGTTAAACTCGATGAAGCAAATATCAGGTCTTAAGGTACTAATTCTCCGCGGGAGCCCAGATCACGGCATCGTCAACGACTCGGATTCTATCACAGCCTTACTGAATCAACTCCCGACTCTAGAATCTTTGTCATTTGACCTTGTGTCTCTGTCTAGGCTGAATGTGAATTCTGGGTCGCTCCCTAATCTCAAACACCTGTATTTCTTCTATGATCAGACTAACATGGAAGCCATGATCAGGTTCTGCCATTCCGAAGGAAAAAAAATTAAACTGTTGGAATATGCTCCCCAAGAATACGGCGATGAAGCGGCATCATTGCTTGTTGCATTAGGCCAATCAATCGAAGCGCTTTCAATCGATGCGATCCCAACTCATATTTCAAATTACGGCTTAAATAGTATTTACCCACGGCTCCGCATCGTACGCTATATCTTTTGTGACATTGAGCGGTCAAATATTAGTTGGCTTGCAATGCCTTTTTTTGATAACGTTGAGGTTTTAATCACCAATTATGTGAATTCAAAAGATACTTGGGGAGAGATCTTGAGTTTGCTGGGTCGCTATTCTTCGACAAAACGACTGCCTTTAAAGCACATAATTTTCACAACCCCGAGACACCTTGATGTGTTTGATGCCCCATTGGCAGAGGCATGTTTGGCCCAAGGAATAAATTGTTATTTCAGAGACGAAATGACATACGAAGAAGTTTTGGTAAATTTTGCTTAGAATCCATGGCATTAGTTAACTCGGTTCTGATTTTGAACTGAATATTTCATAGGATTCAATGACATGGGTCACGGAACAGGGCCTTTCGAATCGTGAGTAATTGGAGCAGAACAGGGTAAGCACGGTCAAAAACTCAGGTCCTAGATCACCAACAAACAATACTGATCTACAATTCTTGATGGATGTCAGCTTTTAACTTAGGAATACTGTTACTCAGAGTCGTAATGAAATAATTAATATAGGATGTTGTTTTTGGATCGAATGTCCTATTTCCGGATCATGAAAACGAGTATCTCTCATTAGTTGTAGTGAAAATGAACATCGCTTTCATTCCTGTACTCCCAGTGACGCGGTCGAATTGGCCCAATTGTCTTACATAATCCTATTAACCCAATCTTTGATAATCAAAATTAAATAAGAATCAATTAAGAAAATGTGGACACTATATACACGCATTTCCCATTTTCGCCTCTGAAGAAGAGTAAATATGTATTCCTTGACCGTGAATGTGAGTTCAGTCTATCCTTGCAATCGCATTTGCCGACTTCCAGAGTCAAAACATTTGCATTAGATTGAACTTAAAATGGTGACACAAACCAAATAACTTGAGGCATGACATCTTTCGCGATCTCTTGCGAGATATTCCCATTCTCCATTTGGAAGTATATGATCTCCTATCTCAATTGGAAAACATGTGAAACCTATGCGATGAAAGTTCAAGTCACTTTCAGCTTCCGATATACTCTATACACAGACGGACGCACTTACCCGAATTTGTTTCTTAGTTTTAGTTTCAAAATTCCTGCCCGAGTAATCGACTGAATCGCCGAATTGTGCAATCCGCAGCGATACTGGATTTGTTCTGAACGCATTTGAGCAAGTTTATCTTTTCACGCCGGGTATCCGGGTATGATCGTGTAGATAAAGACTTACAATTTTCACACGCATCAACTGAGAGTGAGCATTCCTGAGCGAATCTCCTGGCAATATTTTGCACACTATTTATATAGTCAAATCAGTTCTAACCTTCATTTTGATTTGATGTGTCACACTGGCCACCGTCCCATTTGACTGCAAACCATGGTGCCTTACAACATCCGCCTTCCTGTCGAAATCATCGGACATATCTTGGGGTATTTTTACGACGATTGCGTCCAGACTCCTGCAGATCTGATCAACAGCGCCGATCGAGGTCGCCCGACTATTGTTTCCCTGTGTTCTCTTTTGAACTTGCGCTATGTTGGCAACGACTGGGACAGCGCTGTCAGACCTTACATTTTCCAAGACATTGATTTACGACTAGCTTTTATGGCATCCAGCATCTTCAAACGTAGATTCGATGCTTTCTTCATATCTGGGATGCATTGTTTACAAAGATTGAGCATTAGTCCTGTGTTCTATTCAAGTGGCACTGAAGGTTTTGTTACTTACGAAGGCATTAAGACTTCTTTAGGCGTTCACCCTTATCCTTCAGACGTAATTCACATGTCACAAATTGTGGGGTTACTCAAGATGTGTAGCGAAAGCTTGACTGATTTGCGCTTCAAATTTATCGGGCCAGTTGGTTTTGATGAAGAAGCGATACAATCCTTTAACCACCTTTCGAGCCTCAAGGTCTTGATCATTTGGGGAAGCCAAACTCGGCATGTTGAAAATGACTCAGACTCTTTGATCGGCATTTTGAACCGAATCCCATCTTTGGAATCTTTATCTCTAAACTTTTTCGCATTGAATCGTTTAAAAGTCGATTGTGGCTCCTTGCCAAATTTAAAACATTTTTATTTTGCATTCAATCAGGGAAACGTAAATGCAGTGACCGAGTTTTTTGGTGATCAAGGGAAAAATATCACTTTGCTCGAGTACAGTCCACCTGAAGACGACGCTGACCAAGCTGCGTCTGCATTATTCAAATTGAAAGATTCTATTCGAGCTCTATCGATAAACGAAATTCCTATCCTTCTACCTCACGACATCCTGATGGATCATTTTCCGCAACTCCGTATTTTGAAGTCGACGTGTTTCAGGACTGCAGGAACGACTAATTGGTTACGATGGGCTT